GATTTTATCACTTCTAACATCTCTTCTTTTTCTCTTTATTTTCAGGTTGCAGCACCACCGGATGTGTCCTGACGGTACGCGCTCGTTTAGCGGAGGAGAGTGCAGCCCAGACGAAAGCGGGGAGCGCGCAGATGGAGAAACTCTTCTCTCAGTTACGGACAGTGACTCTGACTTGGATGTCTGAGACTTTTAGTCTATGAAATGGACCTTCAGTAGGGGCCTGTGATGCTCCCCGCTATGGATTACCGAAGAGAAAGAGGATGATGATGTTCGTGGACAAAAGGCTGGTCAGGGTTTGCAATAAACGATCAGGGCATAAAACAGTTCCATCCTTATTAACACCCCTCTGTGCTGCTGGTTCACTGACCACCGGCTGCAGATCAGGCCCACATTTCTGATGTTTAACTACATCACTGCGGTGCGCATCCGATGACCCAGTTTACACCATCGACCTCAGATATCAAGCCGTGGACCCCTGTTGGACTTTGACCCAGGGACCCCTACATGGGAGGACCTTTACAGACCTAAACCTGTCAGTGAGATAATATCCTTATTTTCTCTAATTATGTGTCAATATATGTTTTTTTGTTTGTTTCTTAAGACCCCTGGATGTCCACTGCTGTAGACAATCAATACGCACTGAATGCCTACCTCCTGTCTGGCTGTTTGTATGTTTATGAACTTTTTTTTTTACCTTCACTTGTACTTTATTTAAAGTTCACAGAGTTCACTGTGCAGTCTGTGTGTGATGATATGTCCTAGTCTGTGTTCAATTTGATGCTGAATAAATGTTTTGGTATTTTATATAAATAAAATTATTTAATATATGTCGTTCACTTTTCTTTAATGACACCACCACTGTAATATTCCCAAGGAAAGTGTGTGTTTGTGTGTGTGAGTGTGTATCAGCATACACACATTCAGTTCATTCATTCATATATTTTTTTATGCCACATTATGTGTATGGTTGTAGGCAGATACAATGACATTTTAAGTGTTAATTAAACAATTATAACTTAATTAAACATAAGTAACCAGTGTATAAAAGCTTAATGAATCATTAATAACACAATATAATACAACTGTAATCATATTGAATGATATACTGTAGCCTTACAGTGTGTTATAAAACATTTATTAGCTGTTAATACACAAGGATTTACCAAAAAACATTTTTTCTTCATTAACACGTTTTTTTTTTAACCAAAACATCTTAGAATGATGTAATAAACTTGGTCTACTTACATGTTATTTCCACTGAGTGTGGAGTCTTAGGGATTAACAGTAAATGACTGAGAAGCAGTTTAATGAGCACGGAGGATTTTCCATAACTCTTCTGCTGGCAGTGGTGGAAAGTACATTTACTCAAATACTGCATTTTCGGCTACTTTATACTTTCAAATCCACTTCATCTGAGAGGGAAATATTGTATTTTTCACTCTACTACAGTTATTAATAACTTTAGTTACTTTGCATATTTGGATTTATAATATAAAATGTAATCAACAAATACATTATTATATACTATAAAGATTATTATTCACAAACTACCCAATAAAAGAATTAAAATCAGCTCCACATTCACCAGCTGTGACATTATTACATTACATTGGGTATTTAAAATGGGAAATTCTACAGAAGGACTTTTGGTACCATTGATACAAATATTTTTGGACTTTTATTTGTAATTTCTTTGGTAAAATATTTCTTCACTTTTGTATCTATTGGATTTTACAACTTTTGTATTTCCCCTGTTTAATAGTCTAAAAAACAGTTTCTAAGACCTCTGCACAGTAGTTTCTTATTTGTTGGTGCAAAAATTAAGATTGTAAACATACACCTCCAATACTGATCCTGCATTGATAAAAAAAAGAGAAAATCCCAAAAAGTCTAAAAAAATAAAAATTAAAAAAAAATTAAAAACAGTTATTATCGGCTGACCTTCAGTGGGGAGACAGATTTTTTTGTCAATACCACAGTGTGGAGACAAAGTGGCGCCATCCAGTGGTCAAAGTAAACACAGCGCGACCTTGTTAAAAATCCTGTTTATGTCACTTTAATACAGAAAATAAACAGCTGAGAAATACACAAACCAGGCTGAACAGGTCAGTTTAAACCGTTTAATTGCTTCAATAATGACATTATTGCAGTAACAGCGTTACTCACATTGTCACACTGACACACTGCATAGTTCATATTTTACAGCTGTGGAAACATTTACTCTTGTACAATTTAGAGGTTTTTGTACTTTACTTTAGTATTTTGATTTTATGCAAAACTCCCCTACATTCAAGAAGGAAACATCCAATATATATTTATTTTATTACTTTTTACTCTCCTGCATTTATATGACAACTATTGTTACTTTGTTAGATTTTTAAACACAAAATATTGGACCAGTTTATAAATTGTGTATTAACCTTACAACCGCTTTAAGGTAGTTAATATAATCTCCATTTGGATGTGATATTAAGATGCTGTTTACACATTTATACATAGAATACTAATATAATAATATGATCTACACTAAAACGCTCTGGAAAGGGCTAAAACGACTGCTTTTACCTTTGAAACTCAAAGTAGGCCTACATTTAGCCAATACACTTAACTAGCCTATCACTTTGAATAGAGGACATTACGTTGCATTATTGTAATTATATTATATATTTATTATCATCCACATTCTACTAACAACTTTATCTGTGTCTCTCTCTCGCCATTCAAATTTTCTTTTCAGTATGAGGCATTAATACATCGCACTAGTCAATGACAGGAGATATAACTTCTGTATATGAGTTCCTCTGGGTCACAGAAGTCCAATAGTGGAAAGTAACAAAGTACATTTACTCATGTATCTTTATACTAATACTAATTTGGGACTACTTTCCATGTCTTGCTATACTTTCCATGTTACTTCTACTCCAACTGGACTACATATCAGGGAATATTATACTTTTACACCATTAGATTTGGTCTGACAGCTTTATTTGAAGAAGCAGTTAGTATTTGATTTCAAGTTTTTATGTATAAAACATGCTCAATTTCTAAAATATTTTGCCATTATAGATTGAATTATAGATTAAACTACCCAGTAATTTAAGAATTAGCTAATTTTGACCACTTTTAAACCACTGACTGGATCATCTGTGGCCTACTGAGTACTTTTAATTTTGATCCTTTATATACATTCTGCTGCTAATATGTATATTTCATTCATAATCTTACTCCACTTTAAGTATGATTATGAATGCAGGACTTTTACTTGTAATGGAGTAATTTTACCTGGAGGTACTTTTACTGAAGGTAAAAGAATCTGAATATTCTCATCCACCACTGCAGAAATCCACTTGATTACCGTCGAAGCTGTAATTTACGAGGTGCACTTGAACACAGCGTACCGTGACGACACATCCTGAAGGTGTCGTCATCCCTGCGGTACGTCGTGCGAGCCAGCAGGTGGCGCACCTGGCCAGGGCCTCGTGTGCAGGTAGAGGCTGAATCCTTTTCTCTTCTTCTCTTCGTCAAACCAAGTCCTTAAAAACACATGAATTAAATAATAATTATAATAATAAAGTTAATTACTTTCTCAAGAGAAGCTGCCAATTAAACAAAAAAAAAGGTAAATATTTAAAACCTGCAGGGAAATAACACCTTACAGAGTTAATTTTAAAGTGATTTTAAGTTTACTTTTAGTTCACTTTTTGTTATTTACTTGAATCATTGAATAAAAAACATTAAACAGAAACAGATTAAGAATAAGAGAAAAAAATCAACTACAAATTGTAAGTCACAGTCAGAATAAATGTATAATAAATGTATACTAAATGTAATTTTTAAGAGGACTTTTAAAAGATAACACCGCAGTGTTAGTACCTGTAAATATATTTTAGATTGTTAATGCAACTTTATGTAGTGTTTACTTATTTCAACCCCCTTTTCCTCAGACACATTACAACTGATTGTCTATATTGTATATAGGGATGTTTTGTGTTTGTGTGTTAAGTTGCTGAATTGAAATTGCATAGAAACTCACTGGACATTGAATATATAAACAGGTACTGTATGTAGGCCTACAGGTATGTAAAAATATAGGGATGCAAAGTATCATATATAGACACAGAGACATACAGAAGGGTGGCATTCATTTTGATTCATTCTTAAATTAACGTACTGATCTGTTATGGCTATAACATTTTAGACCACATCAGGTTTAAATTAAACAAAAAAAGACATTATATTTGGAAAAATGTTTTAAAAATAAACCAGTATATTGATTTTTAATGCCACTTTTAGCTCATTCTAATCAAGGCTTTACTAATATGCCACAATAATGATATAAAACATCTTCATTTTGGGGACTTTTTCCAAGCAATGCGAATTAAATCAGCACATATTCCAACCCCTTAAAGTCTCCTCTTGACACCCTTATGAATATTTCACAGACAGGTGACATAAACAAACAAATAAACACTCACAGCTGACCAAAAACAACCATCACACCTCTGTAATACCCCCCTCTTCTATAGGAGGAGCTCATGGTGTGACTGCAGTACTCAGGTATGGAGATATTTGAACACACTAGTCCAGCAACGTGTAATAGTGTCGTTATGACATTCGTGGTTTCGTGGTCTCCGTGTTATGTGTGTGTGTGTGTGTGTGTGTGTGTGTGTAGGCTGTGTGTGACCGTGCATAAGGACTGAACTGATTGACTGGCTGTATTGGCTGTCTGTCCGTCACACACACACACACACACACACACACCATGCCTGCGGGTGAATTCCATCCCCCTCTTGGTCTCATGCGCTTAAAAAACACCTCTTCCATTTGCACGCGCACACACACAGTCCCCCCACTCTCTCTCTCTCTCCCTC